GCCATGAAGCTCGCTCTCACAGCTGTGCTACCACTGCTACTGCTCATCTTCTTCTCGCCGGCCGCCATGTCGTCCTCGGCTTTGGCTCCATCCGGCCCCGACGGGCACGGCCCCGGCGTCTACATTGTCTTCGTCAGCCGCGCCGACTACGTTGATTCCGTGGACTACGACCTCCGCCTGCTCGCTTCCGTCGTCGCCAGGTCGCTGTGACCACGTCCATGCCTGCACTAGCTATGACAGTACGTCCGGGGACCTCACCAGCACTGACCCATCCTTTGCTTTGTTGCAGCACGGCAGAGGCGAAGGCCGCGCTGCTCTACCACTACAGCAGCATCGGCTTCGCGGCGCGGCTAGCACCGGAGCACGCCCATCAACTGTCAAGTGAGTGCACCTGGTTAATCTAGATCAGCATTATTATGCCTCATGGGATTTTGTTACGTCCGAAGTTCCGAATGAGTTTGAGAGAACGTTTCGGTTTAATGTGTTTCAGAGAAGGACGGCGTCGCGGTCATCAAGGACAAGACGTTCCGTATCCAGGAAGACGGTGGCTTGCCTGGCTTCTTCAAAGAGAATGTCTGAAAGATCAAATGTACCTCGCTCTTCTGCACGATGCTTAGACACGTTTGGACTTTGGAGCACACAACTGCGGCGATCTGAAACGTGTTATATGAGAACATACTCATTCCCTTCTCACGATCTGAAACATGTTCACTGAAGTTTGGAGTACACTTTTATGTCCTCTTTTGCAGATCTCCTGAATGATTAACCTAGCAAATCTCATGGAGTACACTTTTATGCTTGAAACATGTTCACTGAAACATGTTCGCGCGGAGGTTGAAGATGACTGTAGGGGAGACTTCGCGATGGGCATCTGGTTGGGAGCTGGGGCGCTTATGGGCCAATGTTATTAATGGGACGTTAACTTTGAGCTTAAGCCAGGAGGCTATATGTCTTCGTCTTTTCTCCTTCTCTTTATTAGGAAAGGCTAAGTAATGGTTTTACTTTAACCGCAACGCGGTAGATACTTGGAACAAGTGTTCCAATGCTTTCTAGTCAAGTTCTTTCCTATGGAAAAGACTAATGCTCTTCACAATAAGTTCTCTGGTTTTCAACAACTAGCAGAAGAGTCGATTCCTGAGACTTGGGAACGAATGCAAGAGTATGTCTGTATGTCCACACCATGGCATGGAAGACTGACTTTTGATCCAGAACTTCTACCATGGGTTAGTTTCGTTAGATATGAGCCATTTAGATACTGCTGCTGGTGGAGCATTCTTTTCGCTAAGTGTTGCAGATGCTAAGACACAGATCGAGAAGATGGTTTCCCGCCAAGGATGGAGCAATGATCGACTCCAACCCGTAAACGAGGTATGGATTCAATTAAAGAAGTTGACATGCTTGCATCTAAGATGGATTTGCTCGTGAAGCGAGTAGAACATTATGAGAAGATGAGTGCCCAAGAGACACTCAAAGCCATGGATTCCCACATGACTTGCGAAGTCTGTCGAGATGTTGGATATTCGGAAAATGCCAGGAGGATCTCAACTTCGTCGGCAATGACAACAGGTTTCGTCCACAACAACATCAAGGATGGAATCAGCGTGCTAACAATTAAGGAGGTAACAATTACTACTCTTCTCAACGTCCGAGTAATCAAGGTAATAGTTATGCTTTCCTTAGTGCTCTGTTCGCTTGAACTTATTGACACTACTTTTCAGCCATGAACAGTGTTTTTCTCTCACAACAAATCAGCATCAGCCGAAAAATCAGCCAAGCGAACAGAGCTATATCAATGGTAGAATGACTGATAGCATTAATAAAAAATTGCATGCTCATGAAAAGATGTTGGAAAATATAAATGCTAAATTGGATGAATTTTCTTCTGCCTTAAAAAATCAACTTAGTTTAAATAAAATGATAGAAACCCAATTAGTTCAAATAGCCGCTGCCATACCATCCTATGAAAAAGATAGAATTCCTGGCAAACCTGAAGGAACCATAGAGACAGCCAACCTTCTGTAAATGGTTGGGGATTTCCTATTAAGAAAGGTGATCTTGGAAACCCCGTCATTACTTACTCCATAGGACTCCACACTTTTCATAATGCCATTTGTGATTTAGGTTCTAGTGTTAACATTATGTCTAAGAAAACTTATGATAGAATTGTTTTACACTACCTTAGCTCCAACCTCAGTTTACCTACAGTTAGCCGATCAATCTACCCGTTATCTCGAGGGAGTAGCCACCGACTTGTTAGTTAAAGTAAGGAGTGCTTATGTTCCTACAGATTTTATAATCTTAGATATGGGCAACGACAAGGATACACCTTTAATCCTTGGTCGTCATTTCCTTAATACTGCAAATGCTTGCATATATGTGGCTTCTGGGTAAATCTAATTCCACTTTGCTAGAAGAAAAGAAATATTTACTTTTGCCTCTGAACAATTCCTCTTTGATGTGAAACAGGAAAATAAGAAGCATCCGACGAAAAGAACCAAGATGAAGAAACCAAACCTGATTGAAGAACCGGAGAAGCATGTCAAGAAGAAGAAGAATAATAGAAAGAGATGACGTAAGAAGAAAGATCCGTCTTCAACATCGTCATCCCCTGAACCTGACAAGGCCTCTAAGGTGGAACAAGAAACACCCCCGCTCAAGGAAGAATGACCTTGAGCCCGTCAAAAAGGTAAGTTTTTCTACCCCTCGCACATTTTATTGCATTTCAGTAGTTGCATCTCATATTTAAATTCTCCAATAAATTTGCTTTACATTGCATGTTTAGTTAGTTGTAGTTAGCTACTCTATGTTAATAAATAAAGTTCTGTAGTAGCTATGCATGATATAATAGAGTTTGTATTTAAATAAAATAAACTAAAAAACAAAACAAAAAATATATAAAATATTTAGTAATAATAATAAATAAATAAATTATCTAGTAGTAATAAATAAAAGTAAGTCATTTATGCATCATTCTAGTAGTAGTAGTTAGCTAATAAAGAAAGAATCAAAGAGCCGCCGGAAGATATTCGAACCTATGCAAAAGGCAAGCTTGGGGGAGATGTCTCTCCCCACTCAGGCATGACAAATCCTAATATCTTTACATTTATGTTTGTTTTTACGGTGCCAATATCCATGATCATAGGATGTAGAGAGAAGTGTCTTGAAATTTATCTTAAAAGAAACTCTGCTCTAATAAATACTGATAAATTATTTAAAAATGATGAATAGTTGCTCTGTGATACTTTGCAAAAGCTTGTTATACAACCTGATACTTCTTAAGTTTTGAGCATGATAATTTAGAGTTCATCTTAAGTTGAATGCTTTTGTGGGTTGTAAATGTTAGAACAAGTCTAAGTTCTTGTAAGGTGTGTTGTAGCTAAGATTAGAGTAAATCTTTGAACCTATCTGAGGAATAGTAAAAACAACCTGAAGTTTTGTTTTGCAAAATGCTAAAACTCTCTTGCTAAAAGTTTCTCAACGGTGAAAATTTCCTAACAGAGCCAAATACATATTCTAAAATAACCTGATGCTTTAGAATGTGAGAATGTTAAGTTATTTGGGGAAAAAAGATGAATTCAAAAATAGCAAGTACTTGCAGGCCTCTCGAGTTGAGAGGATGTGACGCCAACGTGGGTGGCTAGCTCAGACTCGGAAACGGAAACAGAAAGGGAGGCGCCAAGGAGGCAACGGCTAGCTCAGTTTGAAGCGCGAAAAGGGACCCCGCCCGCCAGCTCAGAAGCAGAGCACGGCACGCACGGCTCGGGCTCGCCAGTCGCCACTGATCCGACAAAATTGGCCCCATTCGCGTATCTTTAAATCCGACTTTAAATCCGACTTGATCCGCTTATTTTTTATCCGAAACCGTATTTTTCTCTCACAAATTCCTCCAGCATTCTTCTAAACTATTCAAATTTCTCCAAAATTCAGCCAAGCGAACATGCCCAAAACCACCGCCCTCGGCGAGCGCTTTCCAGCTGCGAACTCGTCCACCACGGCAAGTCAGTCGAGCGCGCGGGCCACGGCGTTGCGCCTGGCGCGGCACAGCGCCCGCGCCCCTGCCCTGCTCCAATGACCGACCAGTCGGTCGCCATTGGTGTGATTTGCTCGGCTACCGGGGCCAGGCCCGCGCCCGCCGCCACGACGATTTGTTTGTCGGTTCCTACTGCTGCCACACTTGCTCCGGCTACGTACTCCACCTTATGTGGATAAAATGTTTTGGCCGTGTCCAAGGGTCGGCGGAAAGGGCTACGCGGCATACGAGCAGAGTGTTGAAAACCTCTTGACGTGACGAGGCTATTTGCTAGGAACACGTACGCCGTGGCGATTGGAAAGCAGAGCAGTTACGCTACCGCGGTGCGAGTAGGATCACCAGTGCTTCTGCTTCGCTAAAAATATGAATGCGGCGATGCTACGAGATCGCGATCGCCTGCACCCGGTACGCCAATGCAATGCCCAAACGAGTAGCTAGGTGCTAGATACTGTACCGGGGAAGCAGATTCCTCGCTTTCGTTGGCTAGATCAGAGCACTCGCAATCCGACCGATGGACCCCAACAAAACAGTAGGACCTACTGGTAGCACAAACACGTAGCCCATCAATATACAGATCGTGGTTCATATATAAATATCATTTGAATGCGAATTAACCCCGATCCCGGTAGCCATTAACGAGCTGATATAAAAACCGAAAAGGGAGTCTAAAGGCGCACCACGACGATACATTACTCTGCCTGCTACGTACTACAGCTTTCTTGTACGCACGATCCAGCCAGCGGCAGGGGCAAGGCAGCGGCTGCACAGGAGCCGTGCCGCTGCCGCTGCCGCTGCCGCTGCCACTGCACCCCAAGCCCCACCACCCACCATAAAACCCCCCACACCACCACTCGCACTCTCGCAGCAACCAACTCGATCCGCCTCCCTTGGCCGCCCATTTGAATGTGAGAAAGAGAGGGAAACTGCCGCCCAGCTATCTATCTATCCGTCGCCGTCGCCGTCGCCGGCCATGCCGAGATCCTCCTCCTCCAACTCCAACCCCAACCCCGGCTCCGGCTCGTCGAAGCCCATCCTGGGGAGGGCGATGGCGACCATCCTGGCGCTGCCGCTGACACCGATCTCCAAGGCCAAGCTGGGCCTGCTCCTCTTCAAGAAGCGCGCGTCCGCCGCCGCCAGGCGCCGCTGCTACAACTACAAGCCGTTCCGCCACTACAACTACGCCTACGTGGGCGAGTACCAGTTCTCGCCCTCCCGCTCCCCGCTCCTCCCGGGCCCGCCGCCCCCCGGCGTCACGGCCTGGCGGAGGGCCGCCGCCAAGAAGCGCCGGAGCAGGGCAAGGATCATCCTCGCCTCCCTCTTCTGCGGCGCCGACGACCTCGACGTCGCCGTGCTGGACGGCCTGGCTCGTCGGGGCGACGCCCAAGGGCGCGGGGACAGGGACGACGATGCCTACGCCTACAACGACGATGAGGAGGAGGTGGTGGACTACGGGGAGGAAGGGGACGAGGAGGTGGACGGCCGCGCGGAGCGCTTCATCCAGCGGTTCTACGAGGAGATGAGGCTGCAGAGGCAGCGGTCTCTGGTCCAGCGCCGGCTCTAGACGCCTTCTCGTTTCGTCCGTTGCTACTGTCGATCGGGTAGAATCAGTTGGTTGTCGCTGCTATCTTAGCTGCAGTTCTGTTAATCTCTTCGTGTCTTGCATTTGCATCGTTCGTGTTACCGTTGTTTTTTATCATGGGGTAGTTCTGTTGTCCGAGTCTCTGGTGAGACATTCGTCTCCCCTGCTGTAGTCTTACTTTTAGTATTCGTCACCTATATATAATCCATCCTTGGTATGTTGCAATGTTCGTTTTTTAGACAATTATTACAAATCAATGCGTGCTAGTACCTGTTTCTATTGGCACAGATGGTAATTTCGGATTCAAATTCGTGTTCATGGATTCTTTAATTCGGAATTGGAATTTGGAAAGGAGCGGCCACCGACCAGAGCGCCCTGTTCGTTTGGACTTTGGCTGATAAGCCATGGCTGAAAGTACCGTTGGCTGATTTGGTGTGAGAAAAAAATACTGTTCGCTGACTGTAAAAGTACGGCTTATAAGTCAAACACGACCAATTGAACAGGCTGCAGAGTAGGTACCAGAGCAAATCATGGAAAATGATCGGCATATTATATAATGTAGGGATAACAAGTCGAAGAACAATTGACGGTCAGCTGTCTCGTATCCTAAATAAATTAAGCTAATCGAGGAATGCCTTTTTGACAGAGTACTGCTTCGAGAACTGGCGCTGATTTGTTCTCTAATTCTTGCCTGTTTCCTGCCAAGTTATCCTCCACTCGAAAAGACAGTTGACAAGCTGTACAAGTACACGAAAATATATTAAAAAATAACATTTCCGATTCAATTAGTGGTAAACTAGTACTATTTCATTTGCAATCACCGTGCCAAAAAGATTGAACATGTGGATTTTGAATTCTCTTGGTTGCATCGAGATTCAGAGTGGGATCCTAGAGCAGAACATGTACTAACATGGGCAAACTAACGGTCTTCCAATTCATGCTTAGCACTAGGTCCAGCAAAAGGTGCCTTTTTCGTCACACACAACAAAATGTACCCTGTCGTACAATGTTATCAGTTGGGTAAAAAGTAGAGCGACGAAAAGGCCACAAAGATTAGGAGACACTTTTAAGCTTTAGCGCGTTTCCATTAGAACATACAAAGGGTAAAACAACCGGGAGGCCCTATAACCTTACATGACTCTGTACAAAATTTACTGCAGAGAAAAAAACAAACATATCCGCAATATCTTATTTTTCCATAATCATGCGAGCAGAAGTCCAAACATGTCAATAACTCACATAGAGCAGTCAATACCACCACAGGTCAACTGCGAACTCACCAACAAGCGCCTCAAGAATGTCGTTCTCGATTGCAATGCTTATATCAAATGCTTCAACCTGGCTTGCATCCCACATGTCAGTCACTTGGTCCACTTCTTTTTCAGAAACTGGTCTAAGAGCAGTCCCACTTGACTCCCTCCAGTTGGTGATATCTTCCAATACCTAGCACTTCATCAGGTATTTGCTCAAACTGAGTGGCAGCTTCAGCCAAGCCTTGTATCCACATTTGCCAAAGTTGCAGAATTTTGAATCCAGTGATTCTTTAATGCAGTTAAACAGGAAGTTGGTATGTTGATACTTCTTATCTTCAGTAAAATCTGAATACTCTCTTCCACTAAACATATCCATAGTATTTCCCAGCATTTCAACAATGAAAGGATGGAGTGGAAGACCTGATGTTGTGCTACTGCCCAAAAGAAGTTCAGCATTTGAAATAGCTTCTTCAATGCTGCAGAGCCTGGATTCTAAGATATTGAAATCATGTGAAAGAAAATTCTGTCAACATGGTAACTTGTCATTGCCGTGGAGTGTTTCTTCAGCATCAGTTTTCCTTGTGTCAACTGGCATTGCTAAATCGACAATGTCAGACTCCAAATTAAAGAGATCTTCCATCTTGTTCTCAATTGACACAATCAAGTCTTTTCCTTCTGAAAGAAGAAGATAAGAGTTCATTAACACATCACAAGTGCTACTGCTACCAAAATAACATGAACAAAACTTATACAGTACCTGCCCAAAATTTACAGGCCCATTCCATTGTACCACTCATAATAATTCTGGACTAAACACTATCAACTCTAATCAGAGCAGCCAATTACAAGCACTTTTTTTTTGCTAGAAAAGTCGAATTGTAAAACAATTAATAATCTCACTGACAATAACCAAGCATCTCGACCTGGCCCAGTTCAGCATTAATTTTCTTAATGGCTGAGCTCTGACAAACATGCCACTGAATTTGGTACTACATTATCCAAGACATGCTACACTTGTCAGTTTTGAGCTAGACAGAATTTTGTTTTTATTTGACATTTCAGTAATATGTTTGATAACTCCAAGCGCTGACAAACAAATAATACAAGCACCTATAGAAAAAAGTCAAGGTAATAGAAATATTTACCATTCTTTTCAACTGGACTTCCTAAAGAAGTATCATTTGAGAAGGATGCTTCAAGGACTGACGTTGGACTTGGCTGATTAGGTTCATTGTTTAATGATGTAGCAGAAGAATCAACATCTTGTTCACCCTGTACATAGAATAGAATGAAAGAGGAGGTCCAAACAGTTACCAAAGAGTATAGTAGTTAGTTCGTCAACCTTTTACAAAATTGTTCTGGAAGCTACCAGTTTGGTAAATGGTTAATTAAAAAAAGTTCAACAGTGCTCTAAACAAAAAACAACTTTGTTGTTAAAGAAAACATGAAATATTGTAAGTTCTGTAAAAGAAAGAAAAGGATGTGGATGGCAGATCAACCGTTCATTTGCACAACAATTTCCAATGCATCTGACAATTGTATAAGGTTCATTAAAGAATGGTTCACAATGATGACAGATTTAATGCCATAAGAAATATTTCGATATAATCTTTTGTGTGGGACCAAAAATCTTCAATGTATAAGAATGCATGTAGAACATCGGTTAACAAACTGTATAAGTAGATGCATGCACTGATAACCTTAGTACCTTACCACATAGGAATGGCATACAGTACATGTTTTTTCAGCAATAGTAACCGCCATACAAGTTGGTTCATGTAACACTACAAACACTAAAACTACACCATGTATTTACTAACCAAATTGAAAAAGAAAATGACATGAATAAAAAGACAGTTGTGAATCATCATGATCGACCATAGCAGCATTTACTACAGAAACAACAAATCAGAAGTTCTGAAATAATGCGTGGTAACAGACTAACAGTAAAGAAGGGTCCTGGCCTCTAAACTGACCCGATAGCATTTCTGAAAATTGGGTGATTGAGCATTGGAGAATATACAATGCTCTAGATTGATGGAGTCAACATTTCCATTGCAACTTAAGGGTGCTGACACACCAGAGATTGAAGTGCTCATGTCATTTATAAGGGCAGAAATCAGCTTTTGCAGCAAAGGTACGGGCAATTTTCCTGAAGGTGAATCATCTGGTGTACACTCAATCCTGTCCGACATGCCAAGCTCATTGATTTTTGCTTTCAGCAGCCTGCTAAATTCACCTTTCTCAGAAGTAGACATAACATATGGTGAAGCTTCCATATATCTTTTTTCAGGAGCCGGCACCCATGTCCTTGAGTTGTATCAGGTGCTAGTCTACTTGGGGATCCACTCTTCGATAGATTGCTCCGCGACGAAGCTCTGGCCACTGGCTTTGTAGATGATCTAGAAGTAAATGCAACTGCATTTCTGTCCTCCCTGTGACTGATTGCTCTATCATTCCCCACCTTCCTCCCTTATCCCCTTTAAAGCGCAGATCCATTGCTTGAAATCCTACTTGTGGATGGTAATCCATTTTGGGTGTTCAAATCCCTGCCGGTCATGCTCCCTTGTCCAGTGATCGATCCCACGAACTCTCTTCTTGGACCAGAACCACCGTGTGCAACCTTCCTAGTAGCATACACCAATTCACGAGCGCGTCCAACTAGGCGCGTCGAATCAGCCAAGCCCCCAGACTCTATAATCCCAGAAACCTCCGGGCGAGTAGGTGTTGCCCGTTTGCGCAACAACCTCTCATCTCCAGTTTGAACGGCAGCACCGTTCGATCTAACCCTGGCACAAGTGCGCATTACCTCATTTCTTACTCTACTCTCCTTGTGCTTGGCTTCCATATCAGAGCCCCGTTTGGTCCTGTTTTCATCACCAAAATCCATTATAGGCAACACTACCGTGCTGGTACGGATCGCTGCATCGGCATTGCCAGTGGAACAATGGCCGTGCCTACGCGAGACAGCGGTGGTGTCGCAATCTGTCTCCGCAGGAAGACCAGGAGGCTGTACCTGTAGCCGTGCGGAACGCTCCAAGGGCAAGCTGTCAGAGCGAGACAGGAAGTCGTCGGCCATTCCCGACGAGCCGTGAAGCAAGGCGCCGGCGTGGCCATCCTTGCGGTGCTGCGGGGAAGAGCAAGCGTACGCGAGTGCCAGTCTGGCGCCTACGCGCGCGCCCGGGTCCAGCAGCTTGGCTGCGGCTGCGTGCATGAGCCGGGTCCGCCTCGGGCTCTGAGCCTGCAGGTCAGCCCCGTGGTGGCTCCTCGCCGTCGGCGCGTGCGTGGGCGCGGGAGGGCGACGGCTCCAGGTCGTAGGCAGCACCAGCACGACCGCCGAGTCGGCGACGTCTGGGCGCGACGCCTCCACCTTCCTCTGCTTCTGCGGTCTGGGCGGCGCGGCGGTGGCGGGCCAGGACTCCAGGCCCATGAGACGCGCGACGACGCCCGGGGCGGCCCCATCGGTGGCCGGGTGCGGCGGCGTCAGCGGGGCAGCAGGAGGCGGGCACGGGAGTCTGCGTGGCCGCTAGCGCGTCCTTCTCCTCGCTCTGACACTCGTGTCCGCAGCGGACGCCTATGCCGCTGGCAGTGGCAGAGGAGTGGATGGTAGTCAGAGGGACAGTCGAAGCAACTCCGTGATGCGGACGCTGGCTGGGCCACAGGCCAACAGCGCCGGCGGTCTGCCAGCTTGTTCGCTTGCTCGTATGCGATCGTGGATTATAAGCTGGAACAGTATTTTTCTCTCACACCAAACCAGCCAGCAGTAAATAATCCACGATGATTTACGACGAAACGAACCGTGCATCGCCGCATCGGCAGGAGCAGCCGAGCAGGGTCCACACCGTCTCACCGACGCCGTGTCGCCGACACCCTCCTCACAGTCAGTCACAGGCGGCACAATCTGTTCTCGCAGCAGCACCCAAGCGTGCCCAGTGGCCAATCCCAGAAGCCTCCTGGCCAGCCCAGGGCCCCAGGCCATTCGCCCTTAGATTATAAGCATTACTTTTTTAGTTAACGAATAATATTTTTCTCTCATAAAAAATTAGTAAACAGTACTTTTAACCATGATTTAACAGCCAAACAAACATGACAAATTGTTGCAGTTTGCGGCTTCGGCGAGCAAATGTTTCCTTGTGCTTTCTCTGTGCTCTCAGCTCGATCGGGATGTGCATCTGGGAATCTGCGGTCGCAGTTACTGTACTCATACAAATATTATTACTTTTTTATACATTTAATTAAACTTAAAATTGTTACTTCTCGAGAAGCCTGATTTTAGTACTCTCAGAGCATCCAGGACTGAGTGTTTGAATCCGGTGACTAAAATTTAGGAGGTGTCACGTGAGGGTGTCGCATGAGGTATTCGGATACTAATAAAAAAATAAATTACAGAATTCGTCAGTACTCCACAAAATGAATTTATTAAGCTTAATTAATTCATCATTAACATATGTTTACTGTAGTACTACATTGTCAAATCATGGATTAATTAGGCTTAAAAGATTCGTCTCGTAAATTAGTCGCAAGCTGTGCAATTAGTTTTGTAATTAGTCTATATTTAATATTCTATGAATGTGTTCAAACATTCGATGGGACTACGACTAAAGTTTAGGAGGAGAAACCAAATACCTCTTTAGCCCTGTAACTAAATATGAGGGCTCACAAACGTGCTCCAGCATGACCTATGCTATAGCCCCGAAATTTAAAATTTGAATGGACACCCAAATCCCCCCACTATTCCTAGCTCCCTGTTCGTTTGGGCTTGTTTGGCTTATAAGTCGTACTTTTTCAGCCAACGAACAGTATTTTTCTCTCACACCAAATCAACAAACAGTACTTTCAGCCATGGCTTATCAGCCAAACAAGCCCAAACGAACAGGGTGTTAGGTCTGTAGGCCAAGCCACCATCCGACAGTTTCTGTCTGTTTTCGTCACGCCAAGATCCGCTTCTCTACGAGCTCAGCGGCGCGTCCTCCCCGGCCGTCCGCCTCCGCCGGTAAGACCTACTCCATCTAGCCTCCACTTGCCTTGGCTCCCTCGCTCGTCACCGACGCGACGGCGCTTGCCCCGGCCCCCGCCCTCACGTTGGTCAACCCCTGCTCTCCGGCACGTGGACTCCCTCCCGCACGCGGCTCCTCCGGCGCTTGGACTTCTCCGGCGCGTGGAGGTAGACGGGATTTGGCCTTCCCGGCGACTCCTCCGCTCCCTCCCTCCCACGGCACACGACTCCTCCGCTCCCTCCCGCCCGCGGCACGTGAGTCTCTCTCCATGCCCGGGATGAGCGGCGGGCTCCGCGCCACGCGACTACTCTCCCCCACGGCCGGGACGACGGCGGGCTCTCTGGGCGCACGGCTCCTCTGGTCACGACTGGCTCCCATAGAAGATAGCTCAGGTGGTAGAACGTTGAGGATGACGAGCGGGCCCTATTTGTCAGTGTATCTGGAATGAATTTGGGGGCTCAGATTTGGAGGCTGCTGCTGGAGTAGAAGTAAAAAAATTGAGCCAACAAAACTAGGGGAGCGCTCAAATCAAACATAGAGGCCCTGATTTGGGCGTCCCTGCTGGAGTTACTCTAAGACCGAGACTATTTTCGTGAACTTCCATTGGCTCAGCTCAAATCAACCGAGTTCAAAGTTCAAAATGCGGTTTCCTCCTTCAAACAGCGAAAAGTCGTCAACGATTTAAGGATGACTAGTAGAAACAATACTGACATCTAGATATTCATGTAGTTCCCCGTCCCAAGATAAATGAACTTCTACTATTCAAAACTTATCCTAAATAAAGGTAAATATAAGGTCAGCAACCCTATAGATCACCTTGACCATGAGAGCAATCAAAATAAAATAAAAAAAGTCATAGAAAAACGCAGTCATAGGGATAGTAGTGTAATTTGACAGCTTCATTAAGTTGCCTCCCTTGATCCCATACATGTGTTTATTATGGGACAAAAGGAGTACAATACTTATTTAGACAATTACTTTGGTATAGAAGGGATTATAGTCTAACACTAATGACAATATGAGAACCATGTTTTAGGTAGCGGATAAGGGATTTAGGCTTATGCCAATAGCATGTAAGAAATTTTTCTATAAAAAAACAGGTGAACAGTCCATAGACAATCAGTACTTGGATAACCGATGATTAGGGAACCTTGTGCTAGCCTGCTAGCGTGCTACTTGGAGTATTAGACTGTAAGCGCCAACCCTTTGCTCGAACGGATCCATGATCTGCAAATCATTTTTTCTGGAATTGTTACTTCATGGCACCGCTACCCACCAACCAGCATGGCTTCATGGCTAGGTGCTTCAACTAGTACTGTATCATGAAATGGTGATGATTGTAGGATCTGCTTGGCCTAAAGGTGGAGTGAATATGCCTCTAAAATTTCAGCTCAAACAAATGTTAAACCAAGGTGCGGCAGTGCAGTGGCGGAGCCAGGATTCCAAACTTGGGTATTCCTACTTCCACGTCAATAAAAAAATCATTTGTTTTTAACTGCAATGAGTGAAAATACTACAAAATATGAGCCAATTTGAGAGGCTGTTTTTTTACTGTTTTGGGCTTCAATGAGTGAAAATACTACAAAATATGGCATTATACATATACATATACAAGTATATACACATATATACATAGAAGTGTGCTAAAATAGTTGGGTATTCCTGGGAATACGGGGAATACCCTCTGTATCCGCGCCATGCGGCAGTGCTGCTCTGGTTGACACCCGAAAGGATAGTTCAAAATTTGTCCAATGAAAATCAGCTAATTACTGATGTTCCTGAGGTAGTATAGACCCTATTCCACCACTTGATTCAAGTCGAAAGTGCATGAGCAAGTAGATCGAGATCAAACCCTAATATCACCACAAACACAAATATGACAATGCAAATCACAAGAACACAAGTGAGACACCGATTTATCCCGTGGTTCAGTTCACCACTAAGGCTTACCTAAGTCCACGTTGTTGAGGAAGCCACCAAGGCTTGGGTTTCACGGAACCCTATCCTCGTTCTCAAGCCACTCTTGAGATGAGGGTGATTTCACTAGCTGCTTGGGGTGGTTACAAACCTCCCGGAGCTGCCACCCAAATTGGCAAGCTCCACGGGTGACACGCTAGTCGGCTAGGAGCAAGCTCCAAGCGTAACAAATGCAAACCGCCGGCTTGAACGCGAACCAAGTGCTTTAGGCGATGAAGAACATGTTGAAGAGCTTTCTTCCTCGGTTTGGAGGCTCAATCTCTCAAGGAATCGGAAGATAATCGATGGGAGAAGCTTGAGGTGCTCCAATGAAGTGAGAGAGAGAAAGAGTGCTGCTCTGGAGTCTGTCTGGTACAAATGATCGAAGGGTTACCGTTGAAGGAGAAGGAGGGTGAAGAAAATACCCCCTTCTCCAACGGTCACAAAACAAGTCGCGGTAGTGCCGCTCCTTGCGCGGCAGTGCTGCCTGCGTGGCAGTGCTGCCCAGAGAGCGGCATTGCCGCTCTGCCCTGACAGCCCGGAATCAGAAGATAAAAGGCATGCTGTCATGGCTGGGTATTTGAGGATATTTGGTGGAAGAATTAGTACTTAGTTGCACGTTTAAGCTTGCGCATTGCATCCCCTTTGTAGTACGGTTTTTCCTAAACTCAATTTCAAAGTAAAATGAATTAAAATCACCTTTGAGTCGGATGCCACATCCTTTAGTAATTGGGAGCTCCACCATCATATGTGTTATCCTTCTTTTGATTTTACCTGCTTGTCATCTCGATAAATCTCATTAGTTCTCTAATTATGTTGTCATTATCATCAAAACCTACATTAGGGCTTAATTGCACTTACAATGATGATGATGCCACTACATGCAAACTAACCTTATTGTTCTGCTCCCGAGTGATTATAAATCTCATTTCTCGATGAGTTAATTAATCTCATATCTAATTAAATGTACAAAATATAACTAATGTTTATGAATTATGATACGTAACATGAAATATATATTTTAAATTTATTTGGAGATATAAATGTTATATTACTTTTATAAATCTAGTTAAATTTAAAATTAATTGATTCATCAAAAAATAAGATTTACATTTGGTTTGGGACTGGATTGTATATATTACTGTTGGGAGTTTGGAGATATAAATGTTGTATTATTTTTTATAAATCTAGTTAACCTTAAAATATTCTTCAAAATTAAGATTTACATTTCGTTTGGGACTGGATTGTATATATTACTGTTGGGAGACAGCTCAGCCTGAAACCCAGCCGCTTATTTTTTGCTACAAATTTGTTTTTTAATAGATGATTTTATAGGACAACTTTGCAAAAAGGGACTTCACCAGGAGTATGGAAACAGGCCGCGGAGGCAACGAGGCGAAGACACCTTAACCTTAGAAAGGGATTAGACTACACTCTAAGGGCTCCTTTGGATGCTAGGGAGAGAAAAGCACGTGTTTTTGAATCCCACAGGGGATTCCTCCCCTGTATTTGACACCCACTCCCCTGCCGGAAGGAAATTCCCGACGACCATTTGGGAGACACGAGGATTAAAATCCCCTCCAATTAAAAAAATCAGTAAATTCAGAAAAAATCAAAGAATTCAAAAATGCTGCTCCAATCCACAAAATTAGTACCATGGATATAATTTCTCTAGTACTACATATTAAAAAGGTCATCTACAAATTCACTTGTCACAACACTCTTGCACTGATAAAGTAATAAAAAAACTGCCTAACTTGATCCAAGAGAAGGCCCGGTCCTCAACCAAGGATGAACACAGGTTAAACTGACAAGGTAATCAACACCTAGACAAGTACAAATCTACTAAAATGTCCACTTGCAGCCATCACAACCAGCAGGACAACAAAAGAGCCCTCCTCCCCCTGCAAATAGATGAAAGGAGAAGTTATTATTGATTGAGAACACAGGATAATGTGGTAGAAATCTGGAAAAAAAAAGTCACATAAGCTACATGTTAACAATCTATTACTTTGACCGTGAGGCA